CTGAGGATCCCCGGCTAGTCTGCTAAACACNGCTCTTCAGCACGAGGATCAATTTTTTTAGGGATAGAAAGAATTCCCGGGGAGTTGTTGTGGCGGCTATTGGCCCATTTTGCGGATGCTGGTGCGACTAAATGGAACGGGCGTGGTGAGTTGCAGGCGCTGGTGCGCGCCCTATTTGATAGGACATCAATAGAAGTCTGGCAACGACACTGGCCAGAGGCAGAGAAGTCCAAGCTACTAACAAGGCAGTCGACCGGTGACTACACGAACCATGTCTTCCTCGAATGCGTGTTCATTTACGAGCTGCAGCGTGCCTGACGAGCAGCCAGCATGATCGCATGATGATGCTCCATCTCACGCTTCTCGAGGTCTCGACAAAACTGCTGTTCAGCAGCTTCGTCTTGTTGTGCGTAGAGCTTTTGTTGAGAAACTTGAAGAACAAAAACATCCCAGAGTCCATGTTGAACTAAATCTGAGCCAGGCAGAGTTCTCGGCGCGCCATCAAGATGTGGCACAAAATCTAGCGCAGATTCAAGACGTTCGAGGAGTAAATTATTGCTAATGAATACGTGAATCATTGACCACATAGAGGTGTGACAACCATGGAAGAGCACCGCACGAGCGCCTGCCTGATTTAACCCATATTTGAAGAGAGGTATGGTCCCTCGATTTGGAAGTTCCATGCCGTCGTTAATTCCAGCTTCATTTGATGCCTCGATATCGAGCTCAACTAGCCCATGCTCTGTTGGAATATGAAAAAGGGCAATATCCGCAACGCCATGCACCGAGGTTGCACGAAAAAGGTGGTGCAGATGAGCAACGCTGTCATCACAGAGCAAAGTGAGTTTTGTGACAGCTCCGCATGGGACTGATTTGATAAGGACCTCCGCGCGGTTGTGTCGGACATGCCGGTCGTGTGCAAGTGCTGTGCGTGTAGTAAGATCAGTATGTAAAGTCAAGAATACTTTGCTCACATGCTCGTGCGTGGTGTCACCTGGCATATAAGAATATTCGTGTAATTTGAGGCCTAATGGTAGCTCAAAGCAAAACGGACAGCCGCACTGACCGCCGAGGCAAACATGGCATGGTTCAGCTAGCTCGTCAAATCCACTCCGGATACCTACAATCGGGTCCACGCAGCCACCACCACGTGGGATTCGACGAAGTGGACAGAGTCCATCAGTACGTTGTGGCCTACTGCCCGCATCCAACACTTGCCGTTGCATAGTATAGCCGTAGAGGGTGGGTGAGGTGTAATTCGCGTCGTAGAATGTAGCAGTGGACGCGACAAAACTACCCCAGACTGCAGGATGAACAATCTCTGAACGATCATGTGCCCTGGCAGCTTCGCGATACCGCTGGCGGGCGATTCCTCGACAGAGGGGTGGCATGCAGAAGGCATGCCAGGCAGCAGCACTAGGACGCCTGATGTCGCGGGCAAACGCAAGTAGCTCGAAGGCATGCAGGGGGTGATTGGCAATGAGTGGCACCCTGACCAGGCCATGAAAAATAGGATGATTAGTTACCTGGCTGCGTAGTATAAGACGCCCATAGGCTCGCCCAGAAAAGGAGGGATGGGGCACATCATGACATACAATAGTTCCTATGCGGTCATCCAGTGACGAGGCACGTACATTCGTATACCCTGCTTCCTGTAATAGGCGCACAACTTGCTGCCGACGCTGGGACACAACGCGGGTGTCTTCCATGGCTCTAAATACATCAACTTTGTGCTCAGTGGCGCAGACTGCCTTGCGCTTTCGAACTTGTTTCTCACGAATCAGTCGGCGCCGCATCCGCCGCGTGATGGCCATGTTGGTGCTGACTGTCGTTTCATATTCAGTAGGCTCCATTTGGGTCGACACAGTCTTGAGTGCAGGCTTATCCCGGCCACGGCGCAAGTTTCCATCGCAATCACGGTAGTAAGAATCAGCATTTTTTCTCTTCTGGCGCTCTCTAATTGCACGATTGGCCTCACGCCTCATTTCGAGCTCTAGCTTGAGCTTTGCTCGCCGTTGGATCATTGCGCGCTCCTCGGCCAGAGCCTTTATCTCCTCTTCACTTCGAAATCGGATCTTTACACGAGTGCGAAGTTCATTGAGAGCAGCGTCATCAAATAAATGAGTCATGTATAATTTTCGAAATTCATCGAACTCCAGCCACCTACCATTCATGTACAGATTTACTTTCAAAACCCCTAGCCTAGACACAGAAGCGCGCGAGTTTCGATTCCTATCGAACTCTGAGAGCAAATCCGATGTGAACATTCGCACTTGGTCACTGCCTGTAAGAAAGGATCTCATCTTCAAGGGGTTGCATTTGGCCCAGGCTGTTTACTTTTGAAGCCCAGCTGTAGTGACATGAGGACTCGGGTCTATGAGGGTGGTAAGTTGGGATAGGAAGCAGAATCTCTCACCTGACTTTCCACGGAGTAAGCGTGGATCTCGGTGGGCACATTACCGAAACCCAGGTGTCGATGTAGGGACGTGTCACACCTGGCATCACAGTGGTATAAAAGAACGAAGCGCCAAGCAATTCCACAAACTCAGATTGGGGGCGTGGGACCGCCCATCATCAGGAGGCGAAAGGGTGAGCGGTCGCTTAGAATCCTCAACACACCTATGCGAGGTTTGGCAGATGGTTAAACTAGCAAGCCGACGCGTGGTCACGCTGGCTTAAACATTCTTGCGTCGCAGTGACGGACCCAAGCCTGAATTGCTGTGGTGCTGCAACAAAAAGAGCATCTCCGAGAGCATCAACAATGTCAGAGATGAACGCGTAAGCTCGCGTATCCAACTTTGCCTTTGTAAACATTGTAAACAAATTGCTCTGTTTTTATTTTTTTGGGCAGGCTCTGCCACGAGCAGTTACAACTAGAAGTTGACGTTTCACAACTGGGTTTGGCAGCGGCAGCGTTGGGCCACCGTCTGCAGGCTCAAACCATGCATCTATTTTGGTCAGTAGGCGAGCTAATGATGCCCGAAGATTCGGTGTTGATCCTGCTACCAAGATCCCCTTTGGGACGTGCTTTCTGCGAGATGTATCAATCTCCAAGTCGAGCGTCTGCGCGAAGTCGTGAACGATAACAAAGGGCTCGTAGAACCTAAAGGTGGGGTGGGAGAGGATAGAAGATAGTATCCAAAGGTTCGTGCACGGCCCCGTGCTCTAGTGTTATGCGCGGCTCGGTAAGGAGAGCCCGCCAAGCCTTTTTTAGCATCTGAGCTCCACCAGGTGGTAATGCAGCCCCGTTTATTGATGCGACGGCCAAGCCGACAATGACATCCGTGTCATCGGAAGCGGGTGATCCAGGCTCAATTGTCGAGATAACAACCTAACTTTATCCGCAATATCCATACAAATTGTCCAAATTTGTACGGCGCTGATTTTTTACACCCCCTCCTCCACTATCGTCCCAGCTGATTCCGATGTCAGCAGTCTCAAAGACAACAATAAACGTATGCTGGACATCGTCCCCTGCCAAAAAACGTTCCAGTTCGCGCTTACTGACCTTGCCTGACGCGTCGACATCCAACTGCTGGAAACGATCAAAAACCTCATCAATCGAAACTTGTACCTTCGATCGTAAATATTTATAAATAAATTTGAGCGTTTTACCTTCCCATTATGTTCTCGTGATCCAATGTGGCTAAGCATGATGTCGTGAGGGTGGCGAGGCGGCGCGGTAAGGAGGGGAAAGGATATTGGGTGGCTCTGTACCAGCGAGCCACTAGGGAGATACAAAACTCTCTATCTCTCTACTCCCCCTGGATCGTAAGCCAACAGTGAAGATCCAAATAGAGTATTTTGTTTCCAAAAGCTTCAAGCATATAGAGCATGATATAAGGCTGCGCCACAGGCTAGCAATTCCACTACGGAACCTCAGCTGCCGTAGTATACGGGGGCCGGGGCTACTGGACGAACGGCCCGGGGCAGAGGATCTGCCTCACTACTCCCCCGGGCATTAACGTACCCGGATTACCGAAACGCGCCCTTGGGCCCCTCTAACTCCGCCAGCCACAGCCTGTAGTGCCCCAGCGCGACGCCAGGGGCAGGGTGGTCCGGATGGGCGACTATTTGACTCACCGGCCGGGAAGACAACCAGCGCCCCCATGGGCAGCTGTTGGCTCGGACCTGTACGAGGCTGCCAGTCCAGCTCCAATTTCGACAATCTGACCAGGATCATGGTAACGGTGGGTATATGCACCCGCGGGGCCGACTTCGCGGCACCGAAGGACGCCAAAAGCACGCCTCCCCGCGGGTCCCGTGCGGGGAATTGCAGCCGCGGGAATTCCTCGGCGAAGCTACAAATTTTCTTCAACTTGAGGTCAACTTGACCTGCGTTGAAGTTCAACATGGCCGGCTCCGGGGTCGAGGTCCGGTAATGAGCCAGGGGTGCCTAATATAAGGACCCCAGCCCCCGTAGTATCCAGGATAGTCGGCTGGAGGCGCAGGGAGGCCAGAGGTGTGGCCTGGCGCGCGTAGGAGGAGCGCCAAATCCGTAATCCGGGTACGTTAATGCCCGGGGAAGTAGGTCCCGGATGGGCCAGGAAGACTCTCCGTCTAGTACTATAGTAGAGAGATAGAGAGTTTTGTATCTCCCTAGTGGCTCGCTGGTACAGAGCCACCCAATGTCCTTTCCCTTCCTTAATACTTTCCAGCCCTGTTATCCCGCACTGTAATAGACGGAGAGATTTCCTGGACCTAGTGAGGCCGATCATGATCCTCTGCCCGTTCGTCCAGTAGCCCCGGCCCCCGTATACTACGGCAGCTGAGGTGACGTGAGGATAACAGAGACGCCGGTGTACCGCCATTGAGTAACCTCGATAGTTCACCCTCGGACGGCAGGGCAGCCCCATCAGACTGCTTCCCCGTCCCGGAGTTTACTATCTCGTAGATTCTCGTTCGCACTAGGCACTTACCAATCGTTGGCCGGAACGCAACATTAACTTATTGAACCTAGTAGTTTACTTTCGAAAAGTGGTTGGACGTCGTCGATGATGGTCGCACGATCTCTGATGCTGGGTTTGGCATGTTCCAGGCCAGGGGGAGAGAAACTGAGCACACTTTGCAGTGGGAATTCGGGGTCGGGCATCCCAGAACTTCAGCCCGCTCGTCTCGGGAACACGCAGAAGCTGAGATCATTTTCCCCTCTCTCTCCCGCGCGCGCGAGGCGGTCCCCGCGGCGAGGTTCTGGGTGCTCGAAGGTACTACACTTTTCAGACCGCGCGCTCGTCGCCCCGATTCCGGCCGGCAGCCGAAAGAGTGTAGTACCTTCGCCCCCCCCGAACCCCGGACGCAGCCCCGCGCCGCCGGCCAACCACATCGTCTCGAGCGAAAGACGACGTTTCAGCCGAGCGATACATTTCACTGCAACTTGGTCCGTTGATTGGTAAGTGCTAGGTTGTTTGCGCAACAGCGCTGTGATCTTCCGTCCGTCAGTCAACACGAAATAGGACCAATAAAACGCAACGATAGGCAACCTCAATGGCGCCCCCCCCTCCACAGTCGCGCCGGTAGCGCTCCAGTCATCAATCGTCGTTCAAATAGTCCGATACAATTTGCGGCGTGTGCAACACCTACTCGAACTTACCGCGCCTATGAGCGCCGACCAACACCTAGAGCATGCACGTGCACACCTCATTGATGTCATTCTCCATGTGACTTTCACTCTACATCGTCTCCAACCCCCGCAGGCCACCAAACATGGGAATCATCGGTCGGTGGAGCTAGCCATCCTGGATCTGAATCGCGCTATCTTCCTGCGACCACGTGACCCAAAGGCATACGCCATTCGAGGTGACTCTTTCTCAAGACTCTATGATTTGCTTTCAGCGGGGTCCATTTCAGCAGTCGCACATTATAATCAGCTTGAATGGCGGTGACTAGGCACTCGGCAATTATTGACTTACGGTATGTAGTTGTGCAGGGCCAGGGAGTCCATGCTGCCGTGCGTCACCGTCTAGCGACGATCTTAGACCTTCGTGGCTTCTGCTGGTTGCGCGCAGGAGACGCACGAGCTGCACTGGAGTGCTTCAAGGAAGCTAGTCAACTAGACCCGTTATCTTCCCGTTTTTTTGCACACTGTGCAATTGCCCATACTAAACTTAAAGAGCGCAAAGCAGGGCCCGATCTCTGAGGGCCAGGTGGTGAGTGATGCATCAACATTTACAGGTTCGACGCAGCACTGAGACACATCAGTCGAGCAATTGATTTGGATACTAACCTTGTGTCTGGGAATAGTCCAGATCCATCGTATGCCGAGCAATTTGTGTTGCGAGCAAAGCTTTATTGGGCACTAGGACTGATAGACGTCGGCATCAAGGACATGTCAATGGCCATGTCACTTGCCCCAGACCATATTGAGGTACGGCGTTTCAACGACATGATGCAACGCAAGTCAGCGGAGCTCTATCGTACAGCCTTAAACCATATGATGCATCACGACTTCTCCTCTGCAATTAAGCTGCTCACCGCAGCTCTCCGTATTGCTCCGCGCGATATAAAACTGCTAGTGACACGCGCCTCGGCACATCGCCAAGCAGGAGCCTGTGATATAGCTCTAGTTGATCTGAGTCAAGCATCGACTGCATTCTGTCATTCAATGCGCCCTAGTTCTAGAACCGTGGAGGAGCAAGCTAACAGTTCATCCCTGCAAGACCATGAGCCGTACTGAACAGCGAACGTTTAGTGTATTTGTTTTGAGTTAACTCAAAACCCTAGGTTTCAGCTTGTACGCCAACGGATTTTGGCTTATAATAATTTGGCACTGGAGGCAATGCATGACCATCGACCTGCCGACGCGCTTCTTCTCTTTAATCGGGTAATTAAGGCAGAGGTCAGTCTGACGAGGCGGACGGGCTCGACGCATTGCACTGATCATCGATTCTACGTAAATCGTGGTGATTGTTTTATGGCCTTAGGGCAGACTACCCTGGCAGTTGCGGACTTCAACGTTGCCTTTGCTGTGGCGCCCCACGACTGGGCCGTCACATCGCGCCTCTCTATGATGCATTACAATATCGGCGCATCACTTTTTAACGAGGGCAATTTTGCTGGTGCTGAGGTGGAGCTCTCAGCAGCGATCAAGCGCAATCCAAAAGTCGCTCAGTACTTTGCTTGTCGCGGCCAAGCTTCCTATTATCAGCACAAGTTTGATGCTGCACGTCTTGATTTTCAATCGGCTCTGCACTTGGATCCCTCGTCCCCCCGGGGTACCAAAATAAATAATGTCCTTTAGTCAAATAGCGTAGGCTCCATGAAATCCGAGTCCATCTGCAGCAATTCACTTCGGTAGGTTATGCTGTTTTCCCTCCGAATTATCCCTGGTGACTTTTCCTTAGGCTCAGAGGATTTCATCTGCGCGAGATCTACTTGATGCGCAAATCCCAGAGATTCCACCCAACAAGAATAGGCATCGTGAGTCAACAAGATTTCCTCCGTTGGAGACCCCAAGCAGGATTTCACTTGCCATGGAGCAGCAAAAAAAGGCAAAGGCGGTAGTAACAGCGCTTCGCGTGCCTCCTTGCATTGAGAAAGACACACGGCTGTGGAACATGTTCGGTAGTCGCCACTCCAGCTAGACTGTACGAATCGACACACCTCGGGGGCAAAATAGTCAGCTCTCAATGTGGCACCGCCCAGTACAGTCAAGTTATACACGCCCGGGAGTGGGCCGGGAACCGCACGGGGGAACAAGGGGCGGGCCTCTAATAAGGTCGGCACTGGGCCAGTCCGACGACAAGCTTGCTTGTCTGTGCCGGGACCTGACACCGGGCTAGTGAAGATTGCAGCTACTAGCAGATCGACGAGGGAGACAATCACACGTGCGATGATAAAATATCTACGAGTCTTTTAGCGAGCCGCTAGGGACCGGGGGGCAATATGATCCAACTGCACTCTCCCCTGCAGGGCACTATCCCCATGTATCTGGGCATTTCCTGTAGTCCCACCTCAAGATGGGGCCTCACTTCCTTTTCGCCTCTCTTGTAAAGATTTTCATCGTGTTCATCCCGCTCTCCAATCACCTGATTGCGGATGTTCTTCAGTGCAGTTGGTGCTGTATTTCCTAGTTCGTAAACCACAAATTTTGTGTAGAGAATTTTATTTGTTCGACCGCCTTCTGTGCTGTATTCAGGGTTCCCTCTAACGTATGTCATGGCCCTATCATGATTCAGCCACAAGATTCTTATCGTGATGGAGATGTTTTGAAATCATGTACTCTTTGAGGCGAATGGCTGGGGGTCGCTTTTCGCCTGTCTCTGTGGGTCTTTTATCCGGGTGACCGAAACACTTTCTGTCAGCGTCCCGCATTGTCGACGTTCGGCAGCACGCTCAGCTGCCTCAAGACGAACGCGAGACGTTTGCTCAGGATATGGATGTCTTTTAGATCCAGTGGCTGGGGGTCGCGTCCGATGGCTGCTCAGGCTAGGTTCGCCCAATGGCCTCGTCCTTGTCCGATCGCGGTTGGCTCGTCGTCCGATCGTCCGATCGCGGTTGGCTGCCCGTCCAATGGCGTCCGTCACGCGGTCAATCCGGCCAATTCGCCAATTCCCCCCCTCAACTTGAAAAGTTGCATTTCAACGTTCCTCAGCCTATATATCCTTTTAGAAGCTGGCAGCTCACCGTCGATTCAAAAGGCGCCATGTCGCTCGAGGATGAAATTTTGAAGACGCAGCAGATGTTGCAGCCTCTTATTGACAGACCGCAATTAAAAGAGAAGGTGAGTGTATCCAATCCTGTGGACGCCTCCATCTTGCGCCACGCAGTTGCTCGCGAAGCCACCGTTTCGCTTCCTTCACGATATTGCCAGGCGCAGAGTCCAATCATTCCGTTACAGTAGTCGGAGCAGCGCCACACAGGTGTCCGCGGTGACAAAGAAGACTGGATTTGCTGAGGATCTCTACGAAGGTGAAGAACTAGAATCTGGATCGATCAAAGACAAGGACGCAAAACTAAGCTACCTGAAGAAAATAGTAGACTGCGTTAGCATCTGCTTCGGGGAGGAGCTTGACGTTCGCGGAGCTAAGGTGAGGTTACCTGAGCTTAATTATTTGCTCCCGCCCTGATCCGTTGCTATGTTGTGGCGCCTTTTAGGTTGTTGCGGGGCTTGAACCAGAGAAAACGAATCAGTTCTTACAAAAGTTAGCACAGTGCGCGTCTAGCTCTTCTCTTGACTTTCGCGAAGCCACACGACTGACATTGCGAGGGACTTCGGCAACTCCCTCTGGAATTCCTCGCCTGTGTAACGAAACCAAGCTGGATTCGAAGCAAGCAGATGCACTTGTTGAGCTCAAGGATGAGCGATCGACAAATGATGTACCACCAGCATCACGTGCCGGGGCGAGAGGAGGCGCCGATTCGAAGGGCGTAGAACCTCCCTCACGCCAGGGAGGGATGGGCATGGGGCCATCTGGACTTGATGAACAAATCGAAGCGTGCGACGGGACACCTGCTACGACCCGAGCACTACTCGAACCCATCATCAGCCGTCCAAAATTGCTAGATAAACTCTTAAGCAAGCCTCCCTTTCGATTTCTTCATGATGTTATTTCAGAGGTAATACGACGCACTGCGTTTGGTTCTGGGCTCTACAATGATGTCGAATCAGATAGCTCGAAGGTCACAGACAAAGCGGCAAAAATCGAATACCTGGCAAAAATGGTCAAACTTGTGGGGATGCAATTAAATACTATAGTAGAAGCGCGGCCTGCGAAAATAGTCAGCGGACTTGAACCTAACAACACAAATCGCCTCTTGCAACTGCTCGCGATTGCGGCAAGTTCAGCACCTAATAGTGAGCGTGCTGTCCAGGCCGTCTTGGCGTCGGAGGAGTGCGGTGGAGGTAGTTCTGCGGTACAGATAAAAAATGAGTATAAGGATGATGAATCGCCTAAACAAGAGCAAATGACCTTTACCGCCGATCATCGTGAACGTGACCCTGAGCCCTCATTTGCTTCTGCTGCGCGCGAGGAGGAGATCAACATGGGCGGCGTCCAAACAAAAGAAGTTGCTTACGCTCATACCAAGGATGAAGACCCCATCACCCAACTTGCCAGCGAGGGTGATCTTGGTATTGCCCAGCCTAAACGTTCAACACGCCCCACGACTGCACGACGTCGGCCCCCAAAGTACAAGGAAAAGGGACTAGAGGTGGAGATGAACGATGCCAAAAATAGTAATGATGTACTGGACACCAAGACCACAATTATGATTGATGGCGACAATGATGATGATGAAGATCCTGGTGCTGATGAGAGTTTACACGGCAATAAAGCAGACGCAAGATATGGGCTTCTGACAGATGATGCTCTTGCAGCAAGTGGTAAATCTAAGCTTGTCCGTGAGATCCAGGAAGAAGAACGTGCCGCCGCAAAGAAAGTTGATGAGGAGAAGGATGACGGTTCCGGTGGCATCCGTTTTGGTCGAATTGATCGAGCTGTAGCAGGGAGTAAAGATAAACTGAGCGAGGCAGACCTGCAAGAACTTCAGTACACTATCCAAGTGCTCTGCCAATCAACTAATCCTCTTGGGAAATGTATGGACTACGTCCATGAAGACCTTGCAACAATGAACAAGGAGCTGGACAAATGGGAACAGGATTTCAAGAGCCACGCTGTTCAGCTTGAACACGAAATGAAAATAACCGATGACACAACGCAGCCCCTCAAGCTCAAACTGAAAGAGCTCAAAGAAAAAATCTTTGACGAACAGAAAAGCACACGTTCTGTCAAGGCTCGTATCCTTAAGCAAGAGGAACGCATTGGAGATCTTCTTCGCATGGTCTGCGCTTGCGCATTTCGAGGGTAACAAGTAAATGGATTCGCTGCAATATAAATTGCGTTTAAAAAGTGCCTCGTGACTTTTGAATCACACCGGCCCATGCGTCATGCTCATATGTAGGCCGAAGTCGGGAATTCCCGGTTGAGGCCCAAACACGGACACGAGAATTCAAGACCCGGACGAGGCCCAAACACGAACATATGAATCGGGAGCCATGATAAACTCATCCAGTTAGGCCCAGGGTCGCTTAGCTCCGGGTAAAAATTTTTGAGTTGCTGAATAACTCTGGGTTACTCATCCCCATGGGCGAAAGGGTTCATCAACACGCGTCTAGAGGCCTCGTGGTGCGTGGCTGAATAGTCGGGGCGGTCGTGTGAACGCATCGGGAGATGCGAAGGCTGGTCCAGTCACGAGGGACACACGGGGACCTTGAGCCTGGGCGTGTTTGAAGAGCTCAGCAGATTGAC